CCTGGAACCAGAAATGCATTAAAGGATTCTGAGTAATGGATTTTTAAACACAGCAGCAGGAGTGAATGGTGGGGATATAAAAGGTAGGAGAAAGGATTTGGACCCGTTCTTGTTTGAATTTCCATTTAGGAAAACTAAAGTTCCTAGCCATCAGCAAAACAAAAGGAGATTATTTCAAAAGACCTTGGTATTTTTTGTTTTATACACTTTTAATTGTATTAATATTGCTTATAAAGAAGCACTGAAGTAGTCAGTGTAAGAAAAAATATTGTTGTACCACACTATATTTATTTTGAAGGTTAGTATATTTTTATTTTGATTTACATATAGGGGAATTGTTATACTCTCTATTTAGAGATTCTAAATCCAGGTGACTAATGACATTCTCAGGCATTTCAGCTAATACAGTAGCTATCATAGTCCCAAGATTACCAGAAAGCTCTCACAACCAAATTTCTGGAAAATAATTCTTTAAGCTTAGACCAAGAAAACTTTATCCTTTCTTTTCCCACTTCTTTCTTGCCACCTACGCTTAAAATATATGTCCAGAAACTTTTCACATAACAATTTAGTTGGCATTTGAGAACTAATGCGTTATCCCTCAAAGGAAAAGAAAAACTTACTATTATATAAACAAGTCCAGGGTGTAAGGTACTTTCTTGATCTCCTTTATTCTCTGCTGCAAGGTAGAGAAGCAAGCTCACAGTGCATTGTTACCCACTTGTCTGAGTCTGGTAAGACAGAAGACACTCGAGTGCAACAAGTTTACATGAAGCCTACTTATTATACACAGATAGGGAGCAAGGGACTGGAGACTAGGATCCATTGTGAGCCAGTCCCTCCAGTCTCCTATAAGCTGCCTGGAGCAGATGGAGTCTTGATGGCACATGCTCCATTTGCACCACAGCTAAAGGACCCCAAAGACGGTCTGCCTGGTTATGCTCCTCAGGTGCTGCATGAACCTCTAGACTACTAAGCTTTGAAGGATATATGCTTAGGGCAGACAGAAATAAACCCAGGCTCTCTCAGGTAGTTCTTCTGTACTCAAGATGTTACCTCCCTCCAGGGAGAAGAAGTATATCAGGCATTTCCTTCCTTTCTCAGGATGTTCCCTTCCCAGTTCATTCTATAATCATTGTTGATAGCTTCAAGCTTGAAAGGTGAGAGAACTGAGTCATCCTGAAGCCAGCTGGAGAGCTGTGTGTACAATATGACCTCATCACTGTGCAGGTGAGGAACCCAAGACTCAGAGAGATTCAGTAACTTGTCCAAGAGTACTAGTGCATGAATTCCAAAATATGTCCTCTCATGTTGCCACGTATTCCCATCCATTCCTGTCATCCATCTTTGAGAAGATGAAGTCAAACAGATAACTTTGGGCTGGGGATATGCAAGAGATACAGGGTCTGCTGGGGGTGGGATGGAGTAGGAAGGAAACAGGGCTTCTAAGAAGGGATTGAAATCCTTCAGTTCTGCATCTGTTCTGTTTTCCCTTTGGATATGGGGACTAAAGTGAAAGAAATAACCTATTTTCCTTTTTCTTTTTCTTCCTTATTTTTTAAAAGAACATCTTCATTGGGACTGTGGTATCTTGGTAGGGATGCTATATCTCAATCCCTCATTCCTCATATCCATTGGCATGATTTTCCCTTTCTTTCTCTGTGACCTGGAACTTTCTCAGATAGATGTACTGATTCTGCTTGTTACTCTTCTCTCCTTTCCAGGCCATAGATGAAGAATAAAGGATGAGGAGAGCAGCTGCTGTGAAAAAAACCTGTGTAATTTTCAGGCTTGGCTGAAAGCAATTACAAGAGCTGTACCTGGCAGGCCCCGCGGGGAAAACCTGCCTCCCATCACAGTCTGGAAGGACTCTCGGTAAAGCACTCGTCTCCCTCTGGCCGGTTGTGCTCTTTCACATATTCACATTCCCAGCCCCAGGACTTTCATGCCTAGGTCTCTTTATTTGAGGCCTTGGGCTGAGATCTTCCGTTGCCTCTGTGGATGGGCCCTGACCAGAGGAAAGAGGTTAAACCTGAAGACACTTTCCCTGCTTCTGACTCAGTACCCATTACGTCTCCTTGCATAGCACTCAGTCCTTGCCTTCTTCCCCTACTTCAGCATCCATTAAACTTCCAGAGTCTCTTGTTTGGGGGCTCCCTTAACAGTGAAGGGACCCTTGTGTTTCCCTCCCAGCTCTCTATCTTTGTGTTGCTCCCAGGAGAAAGTACAGCAGGGAGCGTCAGGGGTGCCTCTGGTTTTAGATTCCAACATACACCACCCCAGTGAGTGAGTAAAAAACTTATCTCTTATTCTTCACCTGTAGCATCAATGGCTACTCCGACACCTGACATCTAATGACTCCCAGCTCTGCTGAGATGCTGACCAAAGGAAGCCCACCAGAAGCGAAGAGGAATCCGGAAACTGTGGATCCACTGTATGTCCCACTAAAGGGGACATGGCAGGCCAGCTTTTAGGGGAAGAAAGACAACCTATCCCAGCCAATCATGTTCCCACTCTTACTTCCCAAACATGACTGCCATTTGTCCTAGACTCTCACTTACATAGTTGGTAGGTTTGGGCCCACTTCCTGAAGTGAGAAATGGCTTTCTAGTGATGTCTGCTATATTCCTAGTACTACATCATAAAATAGTTGTGCTTTTATTTTATAAAATTACACAAATGCTGTTATGAATCTCACATGAAGCATGCATTAGGTTTCATGAAAAACTGACTGGACACATAAGTGAAGGGTCAGACAACCATATAGTTCTTTGGTACTGAATCCTGAGATGAGAGAAAGGAGAAGCCTCAGAGAGAACAGAGTTGGTGATTGCAGAATCTGACAGGGGAAGGAGGGAAGAGAACAGCAGGTAGCAGTGGGTAGGAGCAGAAAAAACACAGGAAGTAGAAAAGGCAATACGATACCTCTATTCTTACCTCAAAAGCCCCCAAAATCAATTTTTCTGTCTCCTGACTGATGTTTCTGAAAGCTTAATATGCTTCTGTAGAACAAGACCAGGAAATTGGAGAATGTCCCTAGCACTACCCTGCTGAGCTCCACCAAGTTTAGTTTGAATGAAATGAAAAATCAAAGTATCGATGTGTTCCATTTCCATTGGAAGCTAAAAGGGTTTTTCCTTCATTTCTTTTTCTTTTCCTCCAGAAAAAAAAAATCTGACTCCTCACAGATGCGAATACAATATCTGGATCCACATTATTCTTCTCCCATCAATAAATATAACGTTGACCAACATTATCCCAGATATTTCATTGTCTTGCTGACAACAACATGGTAATTGGTATTAATGCCTGAAAATCAAAGCCTTTCAGAAATGATAGGCTTGATTTAGTACCACTGGCAATGCTCTCATTAAATCAGTGAGGACTGTGTAGTACAAATGTACAGTTCCTTTATTCATCACTGTTACAACCTCAGGGAGCCTCATTGAAAATGCACATGACAGATCAGGTAGGTAATGCTGTTGCCCAAATAAAGAGAAAATAGAAAATGAAAGTAAGATAATATAAAATTTACCTTACAGAAATCATTAAGTAATCATTACTTGAGTAAATTATGCATTTTACACAATCTGTAATATTCTGTATTTAAGAGCCTTGGAGGGACAAATACACATTGCACTAAAATGTCTGATGATTCTGAGTTAAGGTTGAAAAGAATGGCTCTTCATTATTAGCTACTGACATAGGGCCATTGGATTACTTTAGGCAAGAATATTCAAATACTCTCCCTTAGGAAACTGGGAGGTAGAGTTCTGCCTCAACTGACTACTATCATATTCTCATGTCTGTGTACCCTGCACCTGTGTCTATATATGCACACACGCACACACACTCACAGAATGAAGATATACTGTGAAAATCTCCGCAGAGAAGAAGCCATAATTCACAGAGGGAAGGGAAAAATGAGGAGAAAAGAAAAATGTGAAATGATGGGGAAAGTTGAGAAAGGAGAAGAACATATGGGGAAAAGAGAATGACACATATATGGGGGGAAGGCAAAGCAGAATTTAGAGAGGAGATGGGTGGAACAGGCATCCAGGACCCTAAGTGTGGCTTTTATTGTCACAAAATAAGGAGTCTGCTTAAAATCTCATACCACGGAATATAATTACTGAACACACAAAAGGCATGTTAATCTATAAGACTGTCTTAGAGATTAATGACTGAGAAAAGTGAGAAAGGCATCAGTTTTGCCCTTCCAGGTATAGCAGAATTCGAGATGTGACAAGCTCATCTGCATAATCGTATCTGGAAACCAGGAACAGCCACCAAGAGCAATAGAGTTCTACTAGCCTTCAGATCCAGTGGATCTCTTAGAATAAATGATCCTGAGGATCTTGGAAGATTTGGTTGCATGTTACCCAGGAAAGGGGTATAAACAACCCCAGAGCAAAGCTAACCTGTTTGGGAATCACCCAGACAAATACTATTGAGGAGGGTATGTGGCTCAGCCACCTTGCTGGTAGAATGAGTACGGATGGTGAAAGTACATGACAATCCCACAATGAAGGCGAAGTCAGGCCAAGTGCAGCAGTTAAGACAGCTGCTGAGTGGAAAGGGTTCACCTTTTGTGGCTCCTGCAAGAACATTTGGCTTGTCTTGATAATTTTCCTGACAGGTGTGCAAACCCAAGAATATTTACCTTCTTACTGCAATTGTGACTAGTCCTTCTTGATTGACCACTTATGATTCAAAGCAACCTAGGGATTGCTACTCCAGGCAATGGTTGCAAAAGCACAAAACAGAAGTCGTATCAACTCATATAACAGAGAAAGCCTGGGTTGTGCTGGAGTAAAGTGCTTCACAATTTAAAATAAACCAACATGAAAGGGAAAATCATCACTTTTTCAGAGACTATAAATAATGCAGCAAGCTTCCAGAAAGAAGCCAGTTTTTCATTTAAGACCATGTTTGCTATTGAGCTATATAAAACAACATCAAGCCCAGAAAGCTGGTAATCTTGTTTTTTTTAAAATTGTCCCTGAAAGTCATGTCACTGCATCCCCTGAGATAGGAGCAGTTGATTTTAGTCTGGATCTTGGTACTTTCTAGTTTTTTACCTATATGATGTAGAAATGTCCACTCTTTTTTTTATGTGACTGGGACACATATAAATGTCCCATTTAGTTATTTTGGTTAGTTTTAGTCTTGCATCTCATGAATTGTTCCTTGTAACATTTGATTGGCCAAGCTTTCTGCGGATGGCTTCTCCAATATTGAAAATTTACCCTTGCTAGGTTCATATGTTTTAAGATTATGAGTGATGGAAGAATAAAATATACTGAAAAGTAGCTTAGATTAAGCAACAGGACGTCGGTTGAGCATGAGTGCCCAAGGATGTATTTGCTGAATTGCAGCCCGAAGCAATGTAACATCACAGCAGAGAGCTGAGGAACAACTGTAGCCAAGAAAATGTGCTAGTGTGTGGCAGTCAAGGACAGGGTGACTTAGTTAGAGCAAAATTGCTGTCTACAGCACAAGAGCACTATTCTTCAAATAGCAACAAGGCCCATAGCCTAGTCATAAGCAACAGATGTGAGGGAATGCCATACGTCTTATCAATGTGACAGAGCTTTAAAGTCAGACATTATATAGTTACTTATTTCTATAAGCAGGTAGAAAAATCATTAGTACGTTGGTTTTGTTTTTGAGAAAAAATGACTTGTAGGTATATAGAAGGACATACACCAATATTACAACCTCAGGAAAACAGGACTAGAATTGAGAAAATGAGGCATATCCATGTCCAACAAAATGGATTAAATAGACCAGGCATTAAATGGTAAGGCAGACTTACACATTGGTTTTGTGCCTTGAGTTCCAAGGAAAGTTGATGATTACGAATTCTAATAGATTTTTAAAATGCCTATCAGTGATTTCAGACCCTCTACCCATGTCTTTGGCATTGCCTTCTGATATGACTCAAGATCCTGGTGATCTGCCTGGTGATTTTCTCTGGCCAGTGAGATACTGGTAGAGAGGAGGTGAAAGGAGGCTCAGAGAATGTTTATGTATTGGAACTTTCTCTCTTGAGGTTGTAATATTTGTGTATGTCCTTCTATATACCTACAAGTCATTTTTCTTGAAAATGAAACCAAGGCACTAATGATTTTTCAACTTGCATAGAGAAATAGGTGAATATATAATGTCTGACATTAAAAGCTCAATCACATTGGTAAGATGTACAGCATTCTCCTACCATCTGTTGCTTGTGACTAGGCTATGGGCTTTGTTGCTATTTGAAGAATGATATTTTGTGCTGTAGACAGAAATTATTATATATATTATATAATATAAAATATTATATAATTTCTAACTCTTAAATAAGGTAGGTGCTCATAACATTATTTTACAAATGATACAATTGATGTGAAGAATGAGTCTAGGTAGGCACATAGTAAATAATGTCAAGGTTTATCTCCAGGTCTGCCAGCCTATGAGTTCTATGCCCTTTCCCATTGAGCCAGGATGTTGATGGGGAATGAAGCACAGACTTAGATGAGCTGGTCTGTTTTCTCAAAGTAGCATAACATTTCACACTGTAGTCTACTATCTTTATTTTCCTAATGCCTATCTAAGCAAAATATTTTCAAAAAACTATTTGTTGAACTGATGTTCAAAGAACTGAAATGGATCATAGAACAGGCTGGTCTGCTTAACTCACCTGTAAATAAGATAGAACAGTGATAATGGAACAGGATTTCATTTAAGAAAATATGAATTTAAATCCTAATTTGAGCCTCTCATTAAACTATGTGACCTCATATGAGTTACATGTAATCTCAGTGGAAAATGGAGTTGATAATATTTTCCTTATAAATTTTAATATAAGTTAATAGAGTAATAGTTTATAAAAGAGTTACTCATCTGGTCCACAAAAATATTTTATACATAGTAGGTACTATTAACTTATTGACTAAAAAATGAAAAGCTTTTTGAAAATAAAATAGGTAATTCACTACTGGATGCATTAGCATACTTCCTATTGTATATACTTTTTTTGCAATAAGATCACAATTATAATAGAAAACATTCAAAATATTTTTCTAATTTTTTTTGTATCAGATGTTATCTAATTCTTGAAAATAATAAATTTTAAAGTTGTATAGAAAGAGTTTATGGACTGGGGTTGTGGCTCATTGGTAGAGTGCTTGCCTAGCATGCAGGAGGCACTGGGTTCCATCCTCAGCACCACATATATTAAAATAAAGATATTGTGTCCAGCTAAAACTTAAGAATAAATATTTTTTAAAAAGACTCCCTAATCAAAACTGATACCAACAGCATTTACTGTGAACTTTGGTGTAACATCACTCTTTAAAAAAAAAAAAGAAAAGAAAGATTTTATGAATTCCTTTTTTAAATTTATTGGTCATTAGAGGTAAGATTTTTTAAGAAAATTGCATTTTCTAATTTGGCACTTTGAAATAACATTTTGTAAACAAAACTAAAAAATTGTTTACAAGGAATTGAAACATCAAATTATTGCAAATTTGTAACTTTTAGCTGAAACAGAAGTTTTGTTTCTGCAGTGACTAGGACTCATTAGGAAAAATCAGTATTTGCAGAATTCACTTCTGGTTTGTTCAGGACAAGGGATTTCTCTTTAGACCATCACCCCCCCCCC